GAATTTTCTGCAGTCCAGGCAATCGATACATGTTTGCTGAACAAGTGAACAGAAGAGAACCAGATCTTGAACAATGATATAAAAAGTGTTGTGCCTACAATTATCAAGTCTTTTGCTCTTGCTGCTCCTTTATACTTTCAGCTAACAAATATTCAGGGCTTACTGTATATCTCACGCATTCCTCAAAGCACTTTGCATGAAGGAAATGATTTAGTCCTAAGAGCTCCCCAAGATGGAAGCAGTATTATTTCATAGCTGAGGAAAGTGAGACAAAGCAGGATCATGTGACTTGCCTAAAACCACAGAGCAGACTGTAAGAGTGTAACCTAGGATTTGCACCTAATGGTTTTGCAGAACTGGGCTACCAACAACTGACATAAATGCTACTTAGTATTCATAGTAAACACAGTAAGTACCAGCTGAATGATGGTCCTTAATAAATAATACTCTCTTTGAAAAATGAGTGACCATTTAAATTTAGAATTGACACTTTGATAATTACAATGATGGACTATTTCATTCCTGTCTATATAAATTCCAGTCCTACATCCCTCTTCTATAGGATGGTAGTTGCACTTTATAAGATTTTTATTAAAAAAAAAAATTTTAAATCAACATGAATTTAAAAAGAGGAGATAACGAGTTCCTAATCTGTCACTTATTTTTCCATGAATAAGCTACTTGCTTCCTTGTTAACTTGCCCAAAAAGGAGATATGCTTCTTAATGTGTTCCTGGACAGACTGAAGACTATGCCTATGCCTTATTTTTCTTTTTAGAAAAATACAATAGATTTGGCAGTAAATTGAAGATAGTATGGTGATGTATTCAGAATGCAAAGAAATAAAAAATACATACAGCTTTATGTCGGTCATGTACTAAATATTATCTAATAAATTGAGTTGTAAGTTTTTGAATGGAAAATAAAAAGTAACTATGGAGCTCAAATAGCTTCCTTATTTGCAGGTAAAGTAGATAACCACCAAATAGAAATACATGGAAATCATATATATCCTCCACCTTCTTCCACATTCACTTTTCATCAATTTTAAACTTTGTTCCCAATTATTCCAAACTTTTAAAAATATGCATAGATTCCAGGGTTGTCAGATAGTTCTAGGAAAATCTCAGAGTTATGATCCTGCCATTCTGCAAATGTGAAAAGTGAAGCTCTATAATGACACGGAGGAAGTTAAAGGATTTGTGTTAAATCCCTGAAAAAGGTTATTAGTGTATAGTAACCTACATAAATCTATATAAATCTATAAAAACATATGGTACCTTGTTTTTTGAGACTTTCTGGCTCTGTCCCCATCCCCTACTTTGATGTGGGTCTTCACTCTCCTTCATCTGTCCCTAGTCTACTCCATTTTGATTCCACTCCCAGTGCTGTGTCTGTTAAATGTTTTGCTTCTCTGGGTTTACGAATGGGAACCACTGAAATGGAAGGGGATCATGGTGGATCAAGCTTGCGAGTTCATGGTGTCAACTGCTCCAGCCTCACAGAACTTCCCGCAGAGCTCTGGACCCATTCATTCCATAGGTTTTAGCGCCCTCCAGTTTTAGCTGCCCTTCTTAAACCACATGACTGAGTTTCTCAGTGAGTGTCTGTTGGCTCTTTCATGATTCTCCTGCCTTCTCCTTTACAGACATAAATAACACACAGGTCTTGTGGCTATTGGTGGTTTATCCCTATTTTATTTGCTTATATACTGGATTTTGTAGGGATGCCTTTGCACTTAATTTTGTTGTCTATGTTTTCTGTGATTTACTGACTTTGCTAACTAGGTGCTCTGACTGTTTTGATGTGAGAACTTGGGAAAACCCAAAAACCACTCTGCATCATCACTATCACGTTTCCATAATCCTCCCTGCTTTTATACATATTTTAAACAACTTCATTGTGTTATAATTTGGAATTTACATACCATTAAGGTTACCTGTATTTTGTTTACAATTTAATGTATTTTGTATATTTATGCAGTTGTGCAACAAGTGCCATAAAAAATGTAGAATATTTCATCATCCTACACAGAAATGCCATGTTCCTTAATAGTTACTCCTCAGCCCTTTTTTCCTTCAGCCCTATGGAACCACTAATCTACTTTCTGTCTTTACACATCTGCCTGTTATGCATATTTCATATAAATGGTATCACATAAAATATGGTCTTTTGCTATCAGTAGTATGGGACAGAAAAATAAACATGATGGGGCACCTGGGTGGCTCAGTGGGTTAAGCCGCTGCCTTCGGCTCAGGTCATGATCTCAGGGTCCTGGGATCGAGTCCCGCATCGGGCTCTCTGCTCAGCAGGGAGCCTGCTTCCCTCTCTCTCTCTCTCTCTGCCTGCCTCTCTGTCTACTTGTGATCTCTCTCTGTCAAATAAATAAATAAAATCTTTAAAAAAAAAAATAAAAAAAAATAAACATGATGTAATGTTTTAAGTTCTTCACCTCAAATGGCTAACAGCAACAATTCCATGACAGACTTTATGACAATGTGTTTGCATATGATTTGAAGTTGGCTACCTGGTGCAGGGCAATAAAACACCAACTGAGAACATGGTCATGGTCAATAGGAACGGTGACGACTATAACAATAAAATGTGACGTACAAATTTTACTGTGTGTCAAGACTCTTCTAAGCACTTCACATATATTAACAGATTTAATATTCACAGGAAGTTATGATGGAAGTACTATTGTTATCGTCCCTATTTTATTGATAAGGAAACTGAGGCAAACTAAAATAAAGTCACCCAAACTCTAAGTGGAAAAGCTGATTCTATACCCAGATAGTTAGACTCAAGTCTCCTTGTTCTTTTTTTTTTTATTATTTTTATTTTTGAGAAAGAGAGAGTGGGTGAGTGAGAGGGAACAAAAAGAATCTCAAGCAGACGCCCGCTGAGCACAGAGCCCAATCTCACAACACTGAGATCATGACCTGAGCTGAAATCAAGAGTCAGATGCTTAATTGACTGAGCCACCCAGGTGTCACAAGACTCCTTGTTCTTAACAACTGTTCTATAGTGTCTTTCTGATTTTGGGGTGTTTAGTTAAATGCCATTCTCTTCTAAATCGGTGACAGTGCCAAGCACTTAGGGTAACAAATTCTGAGTAATACTAACATTTTACTGGCATGTAGGTTAAAACTAAGAAGACACCCAGGTGGTGGCTGGGTGGCTCAGTCCTTAAGCATCTACCTTTGACTTGGGTCATGAACCCAGCATCAATGGATCAAGCCCCACATGAGGCTCCCTGCAGGGAGTCTGCTTCTCCCTCTCCCTCAGCCTCTCCCCCTGCTTGTGTTCCCTCTCTCACTGTCTCTGTCAAATAAACAAAAACAATTTAATAAAGAAAAACCTAAGGAGACAAAATAATCATTGTCTTTTAGTTTCATAGATATTCTTGCACACTTTGTCATAATGCTTTTTTTCTTCTGTCTTAACTAAAACATAATTTGAAAACCTTCATTATCTGTAGCAGATTGGGCTTTAACTGCTTTTTAATAAAGCAATAGCTATTTTGTCCTAAAACATATTTGATACACAACTGACCACGTTCAAGTACAACTGGTCATGATTTGCCTCTTTATTTCCAAGACACAGAAAGAACTATAGGCCTAAAAAGTACTTTATCATTAAACATAAGATATTAAAGCATTTCTCAGTAGGCTGAGCAATGATTATAATCATGTAAATTCTCACAGGACTTCATAAGAATGGGGGGAAAAAAAAACAGTGTAAACTCCTCCACAAAACTGGCAAAGTTGGAATAATAATGCTCGGATATCTTCCCTGAATCAGCCAATCTAATAATCATTCTGCCTCCCTGAAGAGGAAAGGAATCTCTTCTGTTCAATAAAAACTTCTTTCTTTCAAAAATCTTAGAAAAAAAAGTTCTGGACATTTTTTTTAAGTTGCCAGAATCATTTATAGATTGAAGAACTTACTATAATGGAAAATCAGCATATTACTAGGAAGGTGACTAGAGAAGAACTGAAGAGGCTCTTTCTTCTAGAACAAACGCCTATCTTCTAAGATACATCTTCGTGATTATATGTCCAGAGCCTCATTTTCTGTTGTCCAGCACCCTCTCCCAAACATCTCCATGCCCAAATCCTGTCCCATTCTCGACATGAAGACCCGGAGCTCTGTGCTACCTACATCATCTGGGATCTTTGAAGCTGCCTTGCTCATAAAATGAGCAGATGCGGCAATATCACCAAATACCGAATCACATTTATGAACTGACTCAGTGAAAAGATACTGTAATGTGAGAGCAATAATAAAATTAAACAGCACTCAAGTTTAGCTCTCAGTCCCAGGAGCTCGCCTCCAAGAGAATCAGTGCAGAATTCGTCGGCAGTGTCATTCGTATGGCGCTGTTTTGGAAATCAGATGGAATAGTGCCTCGGAAAGAACTTTGCCAGTGTATTTGTAATTATTTTTGACATTTTCTGGGTAGTTTTGTAAAGAAAATCTAAGTACAGTTATACTTCACACATTTGGAAGTGAGATAAATGAGAGCAAAATGTTTCAAGTTGCTGCTCACTTGCTGAAGTAGCATTTTAAATACCCCAAGTCTTGCTCTCAATTCAAGTCCGGGTTGAATTTATTTCTCCTATTTCCACTAAGTGATGGCTTTCTACCAATTTTTTTTTTTTTTTTTTACTGGTTCATTTTAAATTAATTTAGATAAATGTATGTAAATGTTAGGAATACACTTACATTGTGTTGAAAAATAAATGCAAAGGGAAATACTTGGGCATGTCAGGGGATGGTCTGAAGGAAGAAAGGAATTAAATGCTTATGTACTTGTGGGAGGGAGAAGCTATCTTCCCTTAACACGGATGTTCAACAATTGTGAAATGATCCCTTTCAACATCTTTGTATGCATGTACCAAATAGATGTCAGCAGAACATTTTGTAAATGAGAAGTAAAGATAAAAATGCCTAGATTACGATAGTTGTTCCAAAAAGAAGTGATTTCCAGAAACTTACCAGTCATGCAGTCTTTAAATTCAATGTCATCAACTGCCACTCCTCCTCCCAGATCCCTGGTTCTGATGCCTTGGAATATGACTTCGAAATTCCTTAGTTTTCCTAGCAGGATGGCAGCCTTTTGCCAATGCTCACCAGAGTTCTGCTCAGGTTCTTGCCATACTTTTGACAGTCCTTTCTCTGTCTGCAGTAGAGAAATAAACACAAAAGAAGAAACAAAGCCAATCCCTTAGAACAGAAGCATTTGATTAGGGAAAACTGATTAAAAAACAAACCCTGGAACTCTGATACTATCCGTGATGTACCTGACCTCAGCGAAACCGAGGCATGTTAGTCTACTACAGTGTTTCCTAGCAGCACCGATAAATCTGTTTGGGTGTTTTCAGAGACACCACTATTTAGACGTAGCTCACTCAGTGCTTTCTACCTCTCCTCTGCATGCACACGAAATCCTCAATATCTTATGGGATCTGAACATTTTATAGAAACCCTGGATTATAGCTTGGGATGCTCCCCCAACCTTCTATTCATATTCTGAGTGGAAATAATTTACATAGGGGAAGAGAAGAAATGAGATGGAAGGAAGAATACATGGGAGAAATCACTATCCCTGACGGATATAACAAAGGGATTGTGACGTGAGCTACGGTGGCAAAGTGATGATTTCTAAGATCAGCAGGATTTCAAAAATCCTACTAATATATTATTTTGGCTATCTAAAAAATTCTATTATAATATGACTGACCACTCTTCAGTTATAAAGGAAAAATTAATTTTCTAAAACACTTATGTAAGTATCTCCTCCGTATGTTTAAAGTTGGTTTTCATTGCTCTTTGGTCTTCTAGACCTAGTTCCTCCCGAGAATTAGATGTTTTAATAAATCATGATGATGGACACGTTGCAAAGAAAGAGAAATAAATAAACTATATATTTGCTATATATAGCATTATAAATATATATACTTATTATGTATGTTATTATAAATATATGCACATCTATGCTTATGTTTATGATTAGCCCCAAATAACTAATATCTCAGGATCCACTATTTTGTTTTCATAACAAATTAACAACAGTAACAACAAAACCTTGTGTCTGAAGCTTGTAATCAAACAGTGGAATCGAGGGGAATACTGAGGGGAATGGCATCCAGAAAATCAAGCAAGCTGTTCCAACAGATTTATAGCATGCAACTGTGAAATACATAATTTACAGGTATTTTTTTTAATATAAGCTGAAGAAAAAGAGAAATATTGGAAAAAGGATCCAAAGGAATTACATTTCTACAGGTTTGAGCTTTTAGGGTACTAATGTTGATAAATATGGCTGACACCTTGTTGTACTGAGGGAGACACAATCAAACAGTTCTTCCTTGGCTGAATTACAGAGAAAGTAGAGCCTCATATTAGTTAATACAAACTTAACTTTGCAAAACAACTAATGGTGTCTAGATAGATTTCTCAATAGTCTTCCCCCTCCAAAAAAATAAGAAAAAGAAAAGTCTTTACACCCAGAGACTCATGTAACTTTTGTCTTGAAGGGGATGGGAAATTCACACCTAATTAATAGAATTTTATATCCTTCTGATGACTAAAGAAGCGAAGCGTTTCTCAAAGTTAATCATTGACTATCAGTGATGTTGTAGTGATGTGAAATCAAAGGAATGATTACTTAAATTAAAGATTAAAGTAGAGGGGGCCTGTCTGACACATAACAACATAACAGGCATGGATATTGGTAAAGTCTGTCTTAATTCACAAACTTAACTCACTTTGCTAATATTTTCTATTAATCTACTTCTGAAGTTTCTAGAACCACTCATTAACTGTGACAAGCCCCCAATGGGTTTTCAACAAATACCATCACAGAAGGTTGTGTGATTACTTTAATCAATAACATAAAAACCATTTCTTCAATCTTACAACTGACCTTCTGGTGAAAAAGAGATTTGAATAACATATCCATTATCATTTTATGTAGTAAGAAAAGAAAACAAGGGTGAATTCTTTTGAAAACCAACCATGGGTCAACCTAATGGCTGGTGACATTAGAATATCTAATATATTTACTATCATTCCTCTTTAAATATATCAAATCTTATCCCCATAATTTCCAAAATTATGCATCCAAATGTAAAATGGGAGATTTATTTGCTTATTGGTTTATCTGTCCATTCATTCATATATTCTGCAAACATTTGATGTTCACATGTACTATTTAGATACCAGGAATAAAAAGGTGAAGAAAAAAAAAAAAAAAGAGAGAGAGAGAGAGAGTGTCTCACTGTGGAGGTAATAATCTAATATGAGAAAGTCATAAAAATAAATTACTAGAAAAGTTACATAAATATAGATTATATTTATTATTCTTATATATGTCAATATACATCAGAACAATTTTTCAAAAAGTAGTTATATGTCAATCTAATTTTTGTTCCACATACACTGTTGCTTTATTTACTTAATATTCTGATTTTCTATTCTTTCTAAATTGACAAAAGGAAAAACCTCTTAATTTCAACTCATGACTCTGCCACTGGCCGAGGACATATCTCTCGCATTCATCCATATGGATGTTGAACTATCCCAAGAACCCAAGGTAATAAACATATGAAAGTGACTGGCCACACTAATAATTTTTACTAATAATAGTAGAAATAGACATTAGTTCAATAATAATTAAATTATAGAAATTGAAGGAATACTCTCTCCTTATAATTTAACCATTTACCTAACTTTTAACTGATTTCCATGTATTATGCATTTTTGACTCTTTATTTTATATATTGTGTATTTGTTCTGGCAATGTATTTGCCCTCATACTTTTTTTTTTTTTTTTAGTATTTTATTTATTTGACAGAGAAAGAGACAGCCAGAGAAGGAACACAAGCAGGGGGAGTGGGAGAGGGAGAAGCAGGCTTCCCTCTGAGCAGGGAGCTTGATGTAGGGCTCGATCCCAGGTGCTGGGATCATGATCTGATCCAAAGGCAGATGCTTAAGGATTGAGCCACACAGGCAACCCTGCCCTCATACTTTATGTCAGTGTTTCCCTTTTGTGTCATGAAAAGAAAAGATGTAAGAAATACTAAAACTCTGCTTCCATCCCCAAAGCAAAGGCTGCTCAGAGCCTAGGACCCCTTCTTCCGAGACTTTTTCAAATGAAGGAAAACAAAGAGAGTTTGTCACCAGTAGACATAAACGAATGGCTAATGGAGTTTCTTCAAGATTAAAGGAGAGGATAAAAGAATAAACCTTAGAATAATTATCAAGAAGGGATTTAAAAAACAGCTAAAATATGAGTAAATACAATAAACTTTTCTTGTGTTCTTGAATTTATTTTTGATGGTTGAAGAAAAATTAAAATACCATCTCATATGGTTTTCAATGTATATAAAGCAAATAATTAAGGCATAAATACTATAAGTGCAAGAGAGTAAAGACATAAAGGGAAGTAAAGTTGCTATACTGGAGTTGATTAATTCTTAATGTTGCATTTTAGCAGGTCACATTTTTATCCTCAATTTTTTTTTTTTGTTCTTTAGGTTTTCTCATACATTCAGTCTCCCAAATGAATTTTAGAATAATTTAATGAATAGCTGAAACTTTAAATGTTGAATTATTTTTACCCTGAGATATCTTTTATTTTTTTATTTATTCAGGACTCTTTATGTCACTTACTAAAACCTGTCTTTATAATAAATAAGTTATATACTTATTATAACATTTATTTCCAAATATATGGCAATGTGTGTTACAGTGATGAGTGGGAGACAGGCAAAGGGCTGGCCTTCTGCCTTTCCCTGAATCACCAGAGACAGCAACTCACATTACTATACTACAAGTTCACAGGCCAAAGTTACTAGGCTCCCAGGGGCCAAATAACTATTAAAAGATGACAATAAGTGTGGAGTCAAGATGGCAGAGGGTCAGACTGAGATGACATCAGGTCACAGAAGTTTAGTTAGATAGTTATCAAACCATTCTGAACACCTACAAATCCAACAGGAGATCGAAGAGAAGAGCAGCAATTCTAGAAACAGAAAATCAACCACTTTCTGAGAGGTAGGATATATGGAGAAGTGAATCCGAAGTGATGGGAAGATAGTCCATGGGGGGAAGGGCCGGTTCCCGGCAAGCGGTGGAGCAACAGAGCACAAAATCATAACTTTTAAAAGTCTGCTCCACTGAGGGACATCCCTCTGAAGGCTAAGGAGGGGTGGAGCCCTCACTGGGAGAGCGTGGTCTCAGGTCCCATGGGGTCACAGAAGGATCAGGGGTGTCTGAGTGTATCAGAACTCATAGGTATTAGAGTGGGGAAGCCAACTACAGAGATGGGGCTGAGGAGTGAGCTCTCACCTCAGGATTACATTAAACTGTGATCCGTGGCACAATCAGGCCACTGCTCTTTGAGCAGGGAGCCCAAAAGTGGGAGATCCGGGAAGAGCCACTGAAGAGCAGAGCGGCAGGAATCTGCTGGGGTTGGAGACTCCAAATGGGGCCATGCACCAGAGATTGAAACGCTTGGTCACAGGCCGGGAGAGCTTTCAGGGAACAAAAGCTCCCAAGAGCAAACTCGAGCAGATTACTTAGCCCGGCCCCTGGCAAGGGCAGCGTAATTCCACTTCAGGCAAAGACATCTGAGAATCACTACACAGGCCCCTCCCCAGAAGATCAGCAAGACCATCCAGCCAAGACCAAGCTCACTGATCACAAACAGCGGAATTCCAGAGGAGAGGAAAACAAAGCATAGAACTCATGGCTTTTTCCCCATGATTCTTTAATCTTGCAAAGTTAATTAAATTTTTAAAAATTTTACTTTTTTCCTTATTTTAATTTTTCTAACTTTTCCTCTTCCCTCTTTTAACATTTTTTAACTAGTTTATCTTAACAATACCTTTCTAAAAAAAAATCTTTTTAAACCTTCATTAATATAGTCATATTTTATCCTTCATTGTATCTAACTTTATTTTTTGTATACATATCAGTTTTCTTCTAAAAAATTTTGGGACACAACTTTTTCTAATAGATCAAAATATACCCTAATTCTAACACAGGGATTTTTTCTGGTCTCCAGCCTGAGCAAATTTTCTCAACTTTCTTTTTCTTTCTTTCCCAACCAACTTATCAATTCCTTTTTTAGAATTTTTAAAAAAATTTTCATCTTTACAGTCATATTCCATCCCG